TTACAGCCCATTTTATATTCATTTCTTGTGCACGTGCTAATTCTTCTATTATTCTTATTATTTTCCAATTCCTTTGGTCACTTATCCATAGTGGTCCATTAATATACAAACCTAATATTATATGTAATACCATTTTTAGCCCAATTGCCTTATTGCCTATTATTATATTATTATCTTCTGTCATATTTGGTTCTCCATTTTGTAGCATTGCATAACTTTTTTCTTGTTCATTTTTGAATTGACCATTTATTTCTTGGTAGGTCAAGAAGATTTGTAGGATATTAGAGTCAGTTGCTAGAGCAGTTTTTACTATTTCAGACCATTTTCTGTCACAGGTTGTTCCTATTAGTTTGTGTCTTTAATTGTTTCTTTTAACTTGTTCTTTTAGCAGAGCTTCTTGTTCTTTTAACTGATAAGGTATTAATTTTTATATTAAAGTTTTATACTTAGGGTTATAATATTCTTTATTAACCTATTTAATTGGTAGATTGGACGCTATTGTTTGGTTAGTTATGTGGGTACGTGTTCTATTTTTTGACACATTAGACTCATAATTTTTACTATGAGCTAACTCTTTTGTTGATGTGGTGGGGTTCGTGACCTTTGATACCACGTTTGGCACCATTGAGGGGTTTTTTCTTGCTTTAAAAGAGGTATCTCTTAGTTTGAGATATTTGGATATTTTAGACTCTGAAACATTTCTCAAGGCACGAGGGGATACCCTTCGAGCTAGGTTATTAAACCTATACCCCTTAGGTATTTGTTAATATTCGTCAACATCTTGGTAATTGATTGGTTTTCCATTGATAGTTGCTATGCGTCCTTCTCTGTCTTTAGAGATTTTGAATCGAGCTTGGTCAGCTTCTGATAGAAGCATATAAGGTTGGTTTCCTTCGATAATAGATATTTTAATGTATTCAGCATAATCGTCTACTTGGAAAAGTACTTCTATTTTTCCATAGTTTTTAAGGAGTTTTCCTCCAGGTCCTTGTGCATTTTTAATTGGTGATTCGTTTTTTGGTAGGAGGTTGAGTAGTTTATATTCTTTAGCCAGGTCATATCCTATGACGTTTGTGCTGGCTCCTTCATCTAATAATACTTTTATTGGCTCTTTATTTATGGTTGCCATGAAATAATATGCTTTCTTTCCTTTTGGTTGTGTGTTCATTCTTTGAGGGTTTTTAGCGAATTTGTATTCTTTTAAGAGGTATTGATATTCTGGATTTTCAGTTGCTTTTTGTTTCATTCTTTTAGATAATTTGTTTTTGGCAGAACATATTATGTATTGGTTATCAATATGTGGTCCTTTATTTAATAAGTTTGGGTTAATACATTTGAGGTAATTAATACTATTGATATTATTATCTGTTTGAATCATATGTATATGTTCTCTAGTGTAACCATTTGATTTGTTATAAGAGGATTGGTCCTGAACACTAGGCAGGTCCTCTTTTAGAAATAATATTTTCTTTGATCATTTGAGGTTGAAGCTTGTGGTTCTTCATCATCATCTTCTTCTTTATAATGGTTTACTTTCTTGTTGTTAAAGTTTTTCTTTTGGTTATTTCCTTTTTCTTTAGTGGTGTTGGTAGTTTTCATGTTGTTTACCCTTTTGTTTCTGAAATTATTGTTTCCTCGTGGATTATTTCTGAATTGAACATTTCTAGTTCTTTGTCTATTGAATCTTTGACTATTAGATCAGTTATTGTTATTTGTTCTGAAAGGTCTTCCTCTTTGGAACTTTCCTTTTTCTCCTCTGAAATTATAGTTCTGATCATATCATTTAGATTTTCGTGGTTATTATTAATTTCAATGTGAGTTGGGTATGCTTTTAAAATATTTTTTTCATAAGAGGAATATATTTCTTCAAGGTATTTTGTATCAACATTATCTTTTGTTAGATTTTGTTCTTTCTTCTTTTTAAGATGTCATTCTAGTAATTTTTCAAGTTTTGGTTTACAATAAATTACTAGTGTGTTACTTGAGTGTAATGCTTCTTTTAATTGTTGCCGGATGTTTTCTAAAATTTTTCTTTCTTTGAGGTTTTTAATATAGATATTTTCAAAGATAATAGTGTCTATGAATGTTCGATCCATGAGGATATAGGTTGATTTGTCAATTTCAGTTATGAGTTTTAGCTGATACCATTTTTTCTGATATTCTTGAAGTATGCACATTTGTCGTGCAAATGCATATTTTTCTTTGTTTTTGTTCATTAAAGCTAGTGATTCGGATATTTCATCTGGTAATCCTTCTACTCTAATTATTTTCTGGTGTCGTTCTTCAAGAAATTGTTCAAGGTTCTTTGTGAATGTTGTTTTTCCTGCGGCTACTGCCCCCGTTACTATGATAATTTTAGCATTAATTCTTAAATCAAGTCTTTGGATCAGTTCGTGATATTTTGGTAATAGTTTATATATTTTACAGATTGGTATCACCAATTCTGTTTTTGTTCGTTCTTCCCTTTTTAATAGTTTCGAAATTATTTTATTATAGTGCGTTTTTTCCGTCGGTCTTATTTTCCTGATTGTGGGTTCTACATTAATTTCTTCATCCCAGAATTTTCTGATTTGTTCTTTGGTCATCAATGTTGGTATTTCAATTAAGAATTTTTTCTTATCTGGTTCGTTATTGTATCTTTCTTCTCCTAATACCTTTTTCATCAGTTCTTCTTGAATTTGGGTTGGTATGAATTTATATTCTTCTAGTTGGTTCATCTTGGTGTTAATATTATGTTCCATGAATCTTGTCTTCTTGTCAGGGTGTTTCTTGATCCCCTTATAACTATTCTTCTTGTTATTTTTGCAGTTCTTAGTTGGTTATAGACAGTGGTTAGTTGCTGATTAACTCTTTTTAAATTTGTTACTAATTGCTCTCTAGTATATCTTTCTTCAGCTGGTTCTATGTGTTGGTAAATTTGGAATTATAGTCTTGCCAAAATTGCTCTCTGGTGTTGATCTACGTTTCTATTATTTCTTGTTTCCGTTGTTCGAAGGTATTCGGATCCTAAGTTTTCCCGTATTCTTTCTTCTGTATAGAATTCTCTTTCAAATAATGATTCTGATATTTGTATTCTTTCTTCTAGGAATTTTAATTGATTCTTTATTCCTATTATAAATACGGTGAATTCTGATATTTCATGATTTATATTTTGTAATTCTTCAAGTTGTTCTTGGTTCATCAATAGTTTTCTTTTGTTTAATTATAATATAGGCTATAATTATTATTCCTATAATTATTATAATTCCTATTGTTGTTAATGCTATTGGTCGTAGTTGTATCTCGGTTTCTTGTGGTATTCCAACTTGTTGTATGACCGTTGGATTATTATTCATTAATATGGTGTGTGGTCTATCAATTGATCGTTTGGGTTGTATATTTCGTAAGTTATTGGTGTAAAGCTGATAATGTCAATATATCTAATTATTTTTCCTCTTAAATGTCTTGGTATAAAGTCAATTCTATTCTGGTATTTCTCCTTAATATTGTACCAGTCTCGGTAAGTATTTGAGTTTAATACGTCGGTAATATATTGTGTTTCTTTATCTATGTTGTCTTGTGCACATAAGAATTGTGTTAATTCTTCTTGAAACTCCTCAAAGTCTTCGTTTGTTATTAAGGTGTTTAAATCTTTGGTACTTGTCCGTTGTAGTATAAATAGTTTTATCCACGTTCGTAGTTGATATTCTTTTACTATTTTGCTTTCTCGTGGGAGTAATAATAGATAATTTTGTAAATCTCCGTTTAATACTTCTTCTGAGACTTTTCTTGATTCCGGTGGTGGTCGTAGAAGCTTTTTGTTACTTATTATTGGGTCTATAGATATTTCTGGTTCCCAAGGATTATTATCTTCTGTTGAAAGTGTAGTGAATTGGTCGAATAGTTTGTTCAAATTCGTTTCTTCCGGAAAGATTTTTTCGTTTTGGTATTCCTCAAATAGTTCTACAATTGATTTAGTTTGTTGTTCTATTTCTTTCTGGTTGATCAGAGAGTAATTACAGGGTTTGTTGTCTTCTTTACAATTATTACACTTCTTTTTCCGAGTGTTTTCTCTGATACAATCCTTTCCTCGTTGAATACAGTAATCACACTTTTTGTTAATTTCTTCCACTTTTAATATGTCAAAGCTACAATTTTGATTATGATCTATACAAGTATTACACCTTGGTTGTCCTTTGGTTTGTTCGCACCTTTTCCTTTTTTGATTGCAATATCTACAAGCTTTGCCTTTTCCTTTCTTTGTTGGTTTGGAGTATTTACACTCTAATTTTTTCTTTTCACACCTTTTACACTGTAGTTTTTCCTTATCCTTTATACAGCATGTTGGTACTCTGAGACAATTGTCACAGTATCTGTAGGTTTTTGTTGTTCTCACTTTTGGTTTCTTTGAGCAATTATATTGTTGACTTCTTTAATAACTTTTTCTATCTCTGTTGTTAAATCTTCTTTGTTATATCTTCTACTTCCTGGTATTCGTCCTCGTATTTTTCTTTCTTCGTATCTGCACTCTAATTGGTTTCTTTTACAATACTCGCACTTTTCTTGATTTTCTTTCTTTTTACACCGTTTATGTATTCTTGAACAATGAATACAATTAGTATTTAATACCATTCAATTTAATATATGGTTAAGTGATGTTTTGAGAGTCTTGTCAGCAGTTGTTTCTTCAAACGTTTCTATTAATGTTTGTCCCTTAGTTCTTTTTACTTTAAAGGTTCGTGAGTCTACTCTTGTTGTTGTACACTCAATTTCTTCTTTTATACACCAGTTACACTTTTCCTGGTTGTCTTGGTATTCACACTTCTTTTTATTTTTGGCACAGTAATCACAGGCTTTACAATTTTTTACCCAATTTAATCTCTGGTATTGCCGTGTTTTTGGATTTTTCTCAGATTCGTTCTGTGCTTTTTGTTGTGCTTCTTCTAAAATATCAAGGATTTGTTGTTTATATTCTTGTCCTTCAAGATTAATTAATTCTCTAAGTTTTTGTTGGTAACTTTCTTCTTGTTCTGGAAAGAATTCTTTGGTTGTTGCCAATTCCTTTAGTTTAATTTATTTCGTATAAGTCCCACTATTGTTTGGGAAGTTGTTGGTTGTTCGAATAAGTTAATCTGTCTCTTCAAGAGTTGATATATTTCCTATATATAGTTGTTTTGTCAATTATTGTTTGTTCATTAAGGTCCATTCGTTTTGTTATTCAAGATGATGGTTTTTGCTGTGTTTAAATATCTTTTTGTGTTGTACATGATTGGTAATAATAATGCCCCAATCCGTTACTTTCCCGTAGTACTTCAGAGATATTCCTTTTGGAACAACTCATCTAAAGGCACATCTTTGGTGTCTTACGATAAAGATTTCTTTGTCCCTGATTGTTTTGTTATTTCTTATTATTATTTGTTTGTTCATTGACTTAATGAGTCAATGATATCTTTGTCACACTTCCCCAAGGTGTGATTAATATTCTAATTCCTATTGGTGTTTCTGTTCTATCATGTGGATAGATACTTTGATTGATTATTTTGAGTGTGAACCAAACACTCATATCGACTGTTGTATATGGGCGCCAGTTTGTGGCATAAGCCCTAAATATTTATATTTTCTTGGTGCTACTATGCCCCATCCATCGCATAGTGCTATCGTACGCTGTTCCCTTTATAGATATATTAAGGTTGCACCATCTAGGTTGCACATATTAATATATTCTATTCCGTACGCCTTGAATGCTAAGTTATACAAGATTGATAATTTATAATTCCTTTAAGTAATACTAAATTATTAATACTATTTGATAAACTATGTTTGGTTAAATTACTCATGTGTAATATTGATAGTAATATTATTTGGAGATGGTGGTAATGATATAGATTTTCCCTGTTTTCCGATAGTTTTAATAAATTCATTTTCAGATATTTCTTGTACTTCTTGAATTGGTTTTACCGTTGGTGACCGTGTTTTTCTTTCCCGTGGTACTTGTAACCATTGTGCTGTTCCCATCTGGAATAATTCTTCTTCCGAAGGCAATTCTTCTAAGTCTGCTATACTCCTTCGATTTTTTCTATAGAATCCTTTTGGGAATAGTCTGTCTATGATTTCTTCTCTGTACTGGTCTGCTTCTTGTTGATAAGCGTCATTGGTATAATAATGCGTTTCTTCGGCTAGTTGCTCATTTATGTTCTCCGCTATTTCGGATATTTCGATTCCCAATGTTTCAAAGCTTCTAGCTATTTGATTCATTCGGGAGTAATTTCGCAAGTCTTGTTCTTCCAAGTATCGTTCTAATCTTTGAATTTTTTCTCCTTGTATCTGTTGATTATTAAGTATTTGTTCAAGGGTTACTGTTAAATTGTGTATTCCTATAGTGAAGTGTTGGAATCCTCTCTGAATCCAGTCTTGTTCTGAGGCAAAATTGTTTCTTTCAAGAAATTCTATTGGTTCCGGTGTTTTCACTCGTTGTTTTCCTTTATTAAGTGGTTGGTTCATTTGGAAGCAATTTTCGCACATTTGTCTTTCCTTTTCATTGTCAGTTCGCAGTGCATTTTCTGTGTTGCAGTGTAGGCAATATTGTTCCCCTTTAAATTCTTCATTATAACAGTGGTTATGGTAGTAATTACTATGACATTGGTTACAATATTCTTCTTCTGTATGTTGATGATTTTCAGTTTCTTCTGTTTGTACAATGGTATATTCCCATGGTTCTTCTTGTTTGATTACTATGGTCATTAGGCATGATTTACATAGGACATTAGTTCCTTTCATTTGTTTAAAGAATTTTCTGTTATACTCGTGGAAGGTTTTATCCCTTGGATTAGCTTCTCCGAAGCTTCTGTCTATTGCCCTTTGGAGTTCGGTTTCATTAAAGATTAGTTGCCCAAATAGTTGTTCATCAGTTTCATCCATTATTTCTTCGTTTATAAATTGTTGTGGTATTATTCCATTTGGTGTTGAGAATACATCGTTTGGTTGTATTTCTCTATTTACTGTTTGTGGGTTTATTCTTCCTTGTCGTATTTCTTCAAATATTTCTCTTGTTAGTGTGAGGTTTACTTCATTATATGATGTTTTCTTCCTTGTTGATTCTGTCCAATGTCGAAGTCTTCCTTCAAAAGTATAATTTGGGTTTATTAATTCTAGTGCTATAGTGTGTGCCAATCTTTCTTCTATTTTACAGAAGAATGATCCTCCCCAATTTTCCATTTGTTGTTTAAGTTTTTCTGTTCCACAACTTGTACATGTAATAAGACTTCCAGAGTCTATTAATTGTTCTCGAATGATTTCTTTTTTTGGGGTGTTTTCATCTAGTATTTGTTGGTATACTTCAATTCGACATGCTTCGCAGTATAATAGTGTAGTTTTATTATTTATTTTTACTGGTTCTAATTTTGGTCGTGATTCACTGCATGGTTGATAGCAGTTACAACAGTGCCATTTCTTTTGTTTTGATGTTATGGAGTTTGGGTTTATTAATGAGTTTCCTCGCACTTTTAATATTTCTTTTTTATTGCATCCACAGGTTTGGTTTCGGTTGGTATCCCATAATATTCTTTTTGGACAGTATTCTTCAATATGTTTATATTCGTAACAGTAAGTACATTGTGTCAGGTGACAATTTAGTTGGTGATGTCCCTGTTGTCCGCATAGTTCACAGATGAATTGGTTGCATTTACTGCGGTGATGAGGTCCTCTACATTTTCCACAAATAATGTCTGAACATTCTTTGTAATCGTGAACGCCTTTTTCCTCATTACAGATTCTACATCTCGGAAGATCTGTTCCTCCTGGATTGCTTGAAGATAGTGTTTGTTTTGTTCCACTATTTTGAAGGTTTGTTGTAATTGTTTGTTCATCATTCGGTTCACCGTTACTAGTTGTGATTTGGTCAATGTCCATGGGCTTTCTAGGTTGTATGTTAACCTTTTTACTAGATACCATGGTTCGGGACTTCCTTTCAAAGTTATTTCGAAATTGCTGGTAATTTGGTATTCTTTGATATATTGGTTTATAAGATCCGGATATGTTCTTGCCGGTCCCAATTGTACTCCAAGGATTTGACTTAGTAAATTGGTATCTCTTGTTAGGTGTATCTGGTTCATTTCGTCCTGTATTTGTAAATCGTTTTTGGTTGGGTGTTGCCATATTGATATTAAATCTTTTGGTATTTGGTGGTTCATTGGTTTTAGGGTTTTTCTGTCAGTCGATTTTGGGGTCCTTTTATAGTTTCAGGGTTGTTTTGGATCGTCACGCGTTCCAGTCACGTCGACTTCCATTTTTGGTTTATCATCTTGTTTATCTTCGATTAATAATTCATTTCTTATTGCTTTAATCATTGTGGTCCACAGCTGACCTTGATATTGTCTTCGCCATACGTACTCAAGTAGATATGGTTCAATTCTTTCTTTATTTCTATTTCTGGCAGGTATTAATATCTTTAATCCGTTCCAGTTTCCTTCTATGGTATTGGTATGTATTCCTGTTTCAGGATCTTTAAAATATTTTGAATGGTTTACATTCCCATGCTGGTTTCCCAAGATTGGCGTAATATCATCATACGCTTTCCATTGGTCTGTGTAAATAATTGATCCTTTTTCGACGTTATCTTTTATAATTTGTAATACTGATTCTTTATCTCTTTTATTTATTGTTTTGACAAATATTCTTCGGTCATGGGTTCTTTCTACTCCTCCAATGACCCATACTCCTTTCACAGGTTTTCGCCTGTGATACTTTACTCTTCCGAATAATGATTCATCTATTTTACAATGATATCTGGTCCTCCTATCTTTTGACGCGTATCTTGTACTTGTGACCCTATCATTTGTCTTATCTTATCAATATTGTTTGTTATTGTTGTCGTTGAGTGACCAGTCATTAGTCCTATTGATTTCGGTGAGACTTGGATAAGCCATAAATAGTATAATTCTATTAATCTGTTTATTGATATGTTTAATCTTTCAAAGGCTGAGTTGGTATAAATAGATTGTGCCTTTCGGCAATTCCGCTTGTTACATATCCACAATTTGTTTATTTGTTTCATCTCATTTTTGCATTGATGACATGTAAGGTTTTTATAGATAATTTCGTTATCTTGTAACCATCTGATTACTTCTGATTCTGATTCTAAGATTTCTTGTATTTCTCGTCTTGTCGGGATATCTCCGCGTGTCATGCTTTTTGTTTTTCCGTTTCTCCTTATATAAGCAGTCGTTTTCCTACTGGGTGCTATTCTTTAATTCGAATGAATTATTTTGAAACACTAAAGTTCCAAATCATTGTTCTTATATTTTTTCTAATATTTGTCTGCGCCTTTCAATTATATACTATTCTTTCCCTTTTCTTTCTATTTTTAGAATCATGTCTGACCCTATTGATCAACTTTTTGATTCTCTTATTGTTCATAATCAATCTTATGACCTCCTAATTACTATGTTTCTTCGCAAGATTTTCCTTAATATTCACGAGTTGTATTTGGTTTTTCTTAGTACTCTTTCTTCTGATGAGGTTCGTCCTTATCCTTCCGATTTCTTCCTTTACTTTTCTTGTGGTGATTATGATCTTCTTTCTTTTCTCGACTTTGGTCATTCTCGGGATACTTATACTTTTCTTGAGAACCGTTCTTCTTCTCTTGAAGATTTTATCTTCTTCCTTTATGAAAGAAGTAATAAGAAGGCTTTTTCTTTAGTTTATAAGCGCTTTCATGTTCACTTTAGTACTCTTAATGGTGCTCCTTTTCAATGGGATAAAGACTTTTTCGATCCTGATTATAAGTTTAGTCGAACTATTAATCGGACTATTCGTGTTGCTTCTGTCCTTAATTGGGATGGTTATGGAAAGGATACTATTTCTCTTGACGATCTTAATTCCGGTCTCCATAGTCTTTCTTTTAATGATGTTTCTTTAGGTAAGGGTAGTTTGTTGGTTCTTCACGCACTACCGGACGGAGTAGTTAGATTTCTCTAACTTTCGCTGTTTGGTAGTGCATGACGATCGAATATTTCTAACCCTAATATTTTGTTTTATTTAGATGGTTGTAATTCTGAAGATAATCCTTTCAAGTCTTTTAATCCGGAGTATGATTCTTTTGATGTTTATCGTTCTCAAGAGGAAAGAGAAGATCGTATTAATAATCAATTTTATTCTGATAGTTCTTCTGATGATTATGGTGTTGATGATGTTGATTGTTGTTATAGTGATTATGATGATT